TAATATAATATGAAATTATATGAGTACAAATAAATTATAATAAAATATGAATACCAATAAAGTATAATAAAACATCAATACAAAAAAAAAATTTTAATAAATATTAATACCAATACAATATGAATACCAAAAAAATTATTGTAAATAAAAAATATTTTTATGATGGAAGCGTTGAGATAAATATAATGGGGTACGATGGTGGAATCGGTATATCCCGACCGCCACTGCAGTCGGCCGGCCGACCGTTGGGGGTAGGTACGATAACCGAAAAGTACCTTTAATTTATTTCAATGTTTTGGTAAAAAAGTTAAAAAATATATTTTTATATTTAACTATTTCCAAAAAAATTAAAGATAGCCATTTTCTAGAGTTTATTTTTCTGAAAATATTGAAGTTTCAAAATTTTATTTTCATTAATTTCCTGATTTTTAATATTTTTTTTAGTTTCAAGAAAAATTGCGAATTATTAACACCATAATGTTATCAAACATGTTACCCGCCACGCCACACGCATTCCCATACAGTCGGGTGAATACTTTCCGTGTTCCTAATAGTTTTAAATTTATAATCATATTTTATTTCTTCAAAACTAGAAAAAATATCAAAAATCAGGAAATTAATGGAAATAAAAATAAACTACAAAATGGCTATATCATTAATTTTTTTGGAAATAGTTAAATATAAAAATATATTTTTTAACTTTTTTACCAAAACATTGAAATAAATTAAAATATGAAACAATTGTAGTGCTTATCCCAGTAAGTTTTATTACAAAACCAGAATTTCGATATCACCATTATTTCGGGAGATATCGCAATGGATAAATCCTCACGGGACACCTGTATATGCCTATGTGACGTATACAGTGGCGTAATTATGATGGAGGATATGGTGATATATCCCACCCAGGGACTTTTTTTTCAGATAACCACAATTAAATTCCCGTATAAGCGATTGGCTTTAAGAGATTTTAATATTTTAAAATAAGAAATAAGAATTCATGGACATTATCATAGTTAACTTTTATTTTGTATTTTAACAGTTTAAAACTACGATAATTTCAACAATAATTATAGTAATATATGGCAAGAAAATTGTACGACTCATTGTTGTCATTTGATAATTTAGGAAACATGATTATACCCTTTAAATCATTTAATTTATAATAAAACATTTATACAATATTATGATCTATGAATATTAATGGTCAAGGAGGGTGTGTGGTGCGGTAGACTACCAAAAAGTCCGAGRTAAAAAAGTCCTAGGAAAAAAAGTCCGATATAGGTACGTCATATAATTAGGTAAAAGGAAAAATTAATACTTAATTTAATTAAGAAATAATTTTAATATATAATTATATTTTATGTGTATGATTAATTATTTTTATTGTTTTATATTTATTTATATATTATAATTATTAATTATTATCTTTTAGTGAATATAATATTATACCGGACTTTTTAGGCTTAGGACTTTTCTACGGCGGACTTTTTATGCCTCGGACTTTTTTGCCCAGACTTTTTTCCTAGGACTTTTTTACTTCGGACTTTTTTTCCGCGATTCGTGTGGTGTATAGCCACCCCCCACCCACTAGGACGACAATATAAACTTAGGCAAATCCCACCCGACCCACCTCAAAGTCAATTCCAAATTTYGCCACTGGACGTATAAACTATAATAAATTATAAATAAATAGATTTAAATAAAATATAAAACTAGATTTATTAAGTATAGGTACATCGTGTAAAATATAAAAAAAAATATAAATAAGCTATATATAATTTAGGTACTTACATTATAATGTTAAAACACTTCCGGTGCACTTCAGTATAATATAGTGATTATCGAAACATATCGATATAATAAAGAATATATAATTATAATATAGAAAACTACTTGTTTACCACAAAATCAAGCTCTTGCTAATTGCTATAACCGGCATCTAAATAATATGTTGTATCATTGATATATTATACTCTAATTTGCCCAACCTATGAATTGTGACTAATTTTACATGTACGCAAATGAGCTCAACGTTTAGGAATTATAATACACTCATATATTATAGTCATAACCGATTCGATGTGGTAGCTATTTCATTACATAATAATATATACATTGCACACGAAATAAAATATGCACGAGTGAGAGAAGTTTAAAACATTTCAGCATTTTTTACGATAGCCAGTGGAATAATAATCGATCACCCGCGAGATTTAAATGCGATTACCTATACATATAGGCGTCTACTGATTTAATTTCTCAGCGCATTTTTAAATACCTATATACCTTTTTAGTGTCTATTTCTGTTTTTAATTACACATACAAAATGATTGAAATTATTATTTTAACTCCGCGCATTTTAACTACCTATTCACTATATTCATATAATATCCGTGTGACGATTGACCCTCTATGAAAGCAACATAATAATAATAATATATTCATCTCATTTCCTTTCGCCATTTATATATACCAATGTAATATAATGTATACAATAATTATCGAACGCGGATGTCACTCGCCAGTTCGACACTGTTTGATCCGTTAGGTACTCATTCGGCACCTATACCTACTGGGCATTGGTGACTTCATTACTTTTATAATATTATTATGAATTGTGATATAGATTATACGTAAGAAAAGTGCGTGTACTTATACAATATTAACATAATAATATATAATACATGTGCATACGTGTTTTACTCGATTTATTTGTCTATTATTAATTCATAATTTACCGTTAAGTTGGGAAAACATTTTTGCAACAGGCGTACTTAAATAATTTTTGATCGTTTCGTGAATAAAAGTGCATAAAAATTACAACGAATTCCGTGCACGTAGATAATACGATGGCCGAGCAGCAAACAGTGCAAACCGTCAACGAAGATTTACGCAATGAACGTACAAAGTGCACCTTTAATCAGGAGGAGCTAACGAATTTCATTGATGGCGGCGTGGAGAATACCGATAATAGACGAAAAATCGGTATACTTTTATATTATAGTACATTCTCATAATGTTACCTATTGATATTATTTCTCGTTAAAGAATTTTAAAATAATAACAATACAAAAAACTAAATTCAAATTATAGTCTTAATGATTTTAGAAATAGTATAATGATAATTATATTAACTATATTACGCATATAGGTAATATAATAATATAGTAGGTTAAGTTAGGTAAGGTAAGGCTAAGTAATATGGTGATATATTATGTGCTTAAAATTAAAATGACAATATGTAGTAAGATTAATAAGTTTGAATTTATTTAATATCTGCATTAATCATTTATTATATTACCTATATAGTATTGAAAACTTGGCATTTTGAATTGCATAATAGTCATAATACGTCTTATAGATTAATAAATACACAATAATTACCCCTCTTTTCGAACTGGAATTATTATAGTTTTATATGAACACAAAAGAAAACCTTGGTCCCATGCGGATAGTGTATATTTCAAAACATCTGCATATAAATTATGATGTCCCAATTAGATTTTTTTTTGTATTTGAACGGGTACATTTAAATATTTTTTATTTATCTGGAAAGGTAGGTACCCCTAAAGATTTTTTTTCAAAATCAATATTTTCTATCCGGCTCAAAAATGTTTATAATTAAAAAAAGTGGGCAAGTGGCAGTGTTGGATAGTAACGTAACGAAAGTAACGCGTTACTGTAACAGCGTTACTTATAGCTTGTAACGCGTTACGTAATTTCATTAGAATTATTTCCAAGTAACGAAAATGTAATGGAAATTACTTTTGATAAATAATTTCTATTGAATAACGTGTTACATTTTTGAATTATTAAGTACCTTTTGCGAATTGAAAAAAAATATATGTCTATAATGTGGATATTATTATGTTTACCAAAATACCAATCTAGTATAGTAATTATTATACAACATTTATTAAAGCTCTTTATACAGCTGATCCATTAATTTTGAATTTAATGAAATAATGACATTAGTAAAGAATATTTTTATTAAATACAACACAGCTTTACCATCCAGTGCTTCTGTAGAGCGATTATTTAGTGTTTCAGGGGACATTATTTGTTCTGAAAAAAGGTCGCGTATGATTGACAAAAACGTTGAAGATTCACTATTGTGTAAATTTAATTTAAAACACAAATAAATATAAAATAATAATATTGTATTATATTGATTATAATATATTGATTTCTTTTTCAAATAATATCTTTTTACTATAGGCAATGTATTTCTAGTAACATTATTGCCAAACACAATGATAATATTGTTATAATATATATTTAAAAATATAAAATATTTAAGATAGATAAAATTATAACCTTTTAAATTAGACCAGATTAGGTCTAAAATATTAAAAACTTAAAACTTAAATATTTCATATTTATATAATTTACTTTTGAATAATTCTGTTACAATAATATGCCATAACTCACATTGCATACAGTGGTACACCGTCTGGACACTAATTAATTCTACGCATGATTATGTTAATATGTCTAAGACAGGTAGACAGGTATAAGACAGGTATTTTTATAGCGGATTTTATTACACTGGCCGTAGCCACTTTTCTCCAAAAATGAGATACCATAGTGTCGTAACTTATAGTTAAGTAGTTAACAAATAGTTGTGAATCCTATCATGCTGTACTAAACCGAAGATTTTATAGTCCCCATCCTAATATTTTCAATTTTGTGGACGAACTATTACAAATACAGTTTGAGACACATATTRAGCTCGAAGTACAATACAAAAAAAGAAAATCAGGCTCGGTAAAGAAAAATACTTAAGAGAACAGAGAACAATTAATGATGAAATATACTAATAATACAATAACTCGATTAGAATTTGTTAAATGTTTATCATTAAAGTTTTTACCTAAAGCATAATATTTTTGAAAAATCTATATTTAAATATTTTTTGTAAAATTTGACGTACTATATTATTTAGCGTATTAACATTTTTTCCAGGGACACAATTTTTAAATTATTTATACCATTACTATTTATATCATATATTGTAAAATTTAACGTACCTACTTTATTATTTAGCTTATTAACATTTTTTAAATTATTTATACCATATATTGTAAAATTTGACGTACTATATTATTTATTTAGAACATAATATTATAAAAACCACATATATTTTAATTTATATTTTTTTCCCGGGACTCAACTTACCTATAATACCTTTTTGTACCCGGGACTCAACTTACCTACAATCTTTTTTTTCCGGGACCCAATTTACTAAGATAAGGTCATTTGGGACACAATTTACCAATCCCGCTTTTTAACGAGACGTAACTAAGGTTATAGGTTAGGTTAATTAATTAAACGCTGCCCGGCTAGTTTACTAGTTATATATGCCTGCTAAATCGAATGCCAAAATTTGACATTTAAAATATACAGAAGGTTTCGGATATCTTTTTTAGGGCTAGTCCTTTTTTACGGGCTTACAATACTTACATATTATTAGCATTACCGAGGTAATTCTTAAAGTAAAAGATCCATAGCCTAAAAGAATATATTTTTGWTTTGTAATTACCTCTATTATTGTTAAATATTGTAATTTCAACAGTTTATTTGATATATATAGTCGGATAAAATTCATAACTTACTTGATATGAATGCTCAAATACAACTCCAGTCCATTAGTTGCACTTCAGCACCAATCCAAGTCTCCAACTCTGCAGCATTAATTAGAATCTTCAATTTGGGCAATCATATATTTAATATTTATCATGCTTATAATACCAGCGTGTATGTTTTGTGTGATTTTCAGCGAAATTTTTCTTAAGCGATACACGATTTAAGGACGAAGTGCCCGTGGAGTACCTAAGTCACAAAGAACATTACGAACAGTCAATTCGGAAAGCTTGCATTTTTTTCCAGAAGATCAAAGAATGGGAGGAGATTTCAAATAGCAACACGTTAGAGATTTACAGGTGCGTTTGAATTGTACCTATTATATCATTATAAATCAAAATTCAKTCTATAACTTATAAGACTWTAAATCATATAGACGGTTCTTGTTAAGTCCCTGTAGAGGAGAAAATACTTTGTATGCTTAGAAATACATAATATTATATATTCAATCCTTACTTTTTTCACGTTGATTTACACAGTGCCTGATAAAGTGATAAATTCCGTTGCAAACGCTTCTGTCGCTATTTGAAGTATAGTTTGCWAGCGGCTTAGGACCTTATGATATGATGATGTATGTTAAAATGTGAGTATCATAAATRATAAAATGGCATAAGCATTAGGTATATAGTTAATTTTATATTGTCGGAGAATTATTTTTAAATGTTAATGTTAATTCAAATCCTGACGTTATAATATTATGTTGCACAAAACATATTATTATA